ACAAGGGGATAGATGGGGAACTCATCAAATTTGCAGACGACACCAAGCTGGCAGGAATAGCCAACACTCCAGAAGACAGGCTTAAGATACAGGAGGATCTGGACAGACTTGAACACTGGGCGCTATCTAACAAAATGAAATTCAATGGTGAAAAAAGTAAGGTTCTACATTTAGGCAAGAAAAACCAAATGTACAGGTAAAGTACTGTATATGGGGTACCTTGCTCAATAGTAGTAACTGTGAGAGGGATCTCGGAGTCCTAGTGGACAATCACTTAAATATGAGCCAGCAGTGTGCTGCAGCAGCCAAACAAGCCAACACTGTGCTATAAGATCACGTGAAGTGTTAATACCACTTTACAATGCCTTGGTAAGGCCACATTTGAAATACTGCATCCAGTTTTGGTCACCACGATGTAAAAAAGATGTTGAGACTCTAGAAAGAGTACAGAGAAGAGCAACAAAGATGATCAAGGGACTGAAGACCAAAGCATATAAGGAAAGGCTGCTGGAATTGGGTATGTCTAGTTTAATGAAGAGAAGTACGAGGGGGAACATGATAGCAGTGTTCCAATATCTCAGGGGCTGCCACAAAGAAGAGGGAGTCAAGCTATTTTCCAAAGCGCCTGAAGGCAGGACAAGAAGCAACAGATGGAAACTAATCAAGGAGAGAAGCAACCTAGAACTAAGGAGAAACTTCCTGACAGTTAGAACAATTAACCAGTGGAACAACCTGCCTCCAGAAGCAGTGAATGCTCCAACACTGGAAGTTTTTAAGAAGAGACTGGACAGCCATTTGTCCGAAATGGTATAGGGTTTCCTGCCTGAGCAGTGGGTTGGACTAGATGACCTCCAAGGTCCCTTCCAACCTGGTTGTTGTTGTTATTATTATTATTATTATTATTATTATTATTATTATTATTATTATTATTATTATTATTATTATTATTATTAAAAAGATTTTGAGCTCATATAAAAGTTTTCAAGTTACAAATATGTCCCGATGAATTTTTGTCTTCCAAAACATTGGATCATCCAGAATTGTGATCACAACCAAAAGTCACATTAGACCTTACTGAATACCATTTAGTCAATACGATGCTCAGATTTTTTTTCATTCAGATTTGGATGTTTGGAAGAGGCCCAGTTTTGGACCTTTAAAATACTTTCTATCATTTAAAACTGAAACATCAGGCAAATGAGGATCCAAGTGTAGATTTATTTTCCCATAGCTACAAGACAATACAATTTTAGAGGCAATGTTAGACATTCTGGTTTGTTTGAACAATTGTGTTCTGAATTTCTGTTTATTTTTCATTGCCTTTATTATGAAGTGAAATCACATAGAAATCATATATCAGAGCTTCACTTCCTGTAATACAGCTACAGTGTTCATTCTCCATGATTCATGAGTGATTCATGAACATCTACACTTCTCCCAAATCAAAAATGCTGAGATCAAGAAGTGAAAATCAGTTTGTATTGTCCCAATGTCCGCATTCCATTCTTTTTACTTTGAATTAAAAAACTAAAGAGCGGTAGAAATAAAGGTTCATTGTAATGAATGCAAAATCCATGTTTGAGAAATATGTTGATAGAGCTAAGAAAAATATCCCAAAGTTGCAAGTAAGTTTTTGAGTTTTCAAAATTGTTCTTTAGGAGTAGAAATTACAAATCATTGATGATTTGCATACTTCATAATAAAACATCTCTATTTTTTTAACTTAATTTCTTGCCCTATCTCTTTCCACCCATATGTTAACCAGTATTGGGCAGCTATATACTGTATACCATATACAGTAATACAGATTCTGCATTTTTTCATCATAGAATAAAATAGTTACCCTTATTTGAAGTAGTCTATGGAGAGACACATGTTATATAAATAATGTAAGAAAGAATCATCATAATTATGTATTTTCATATACATATTTAACCTTCAATATTATTCACCTAACAACAATATGAGAAATTTTTCAATGGGATCTTTTACTAATCTTAGATCTGTGAGAAGAGCATAACCACTTGGCAGGAATTAATTGAAGAAAATAGTCTCAAAGTCTTGTATTTGTGTGCTCTCCGAGAAACGAAACAGAACAACATCATCTGAAGGGGAGAACAGAGTGTAAAAAAGAAGCATGGGAACTGGAAACATTAACAAAAATCTTCATATTGATAGTACAAGCGTACTGAAGAAAAACAGGTAGGGAGGAAGAACTTAAAATTGAATGTAATTGTAGAAACATTTTGTGAAGAGTCTCAGATTTTATATAGTTACTGAAAATGCAGAAAAGTATTTTGCAACTTCACCCTACCAGCAAAACTGTAGTTCCTACATACACTTCTGTGAAGAAATACTAGTTCTGTGAAGGAACTATCAGTTTCTAAGTGACCCATTTCTGTAATCAAATCAAAAACTGAACAAGCAGAAATAGGAACACTGCAAAATCTGATTCATGATTGAGTCATCGAAAAGGGGAACTGAAGAAAAGGAAGTGTCTCCCCTCCCTTCCCTCCCCACCTGCCTCCTTCCTTCCTAGAGACAGAAGAGGGACACTGCCAGCTAAAAAGAGAATACAGTATGGCATCCATACCTCTTCATTATCCCTTTGCCATTGTTTTAGTAGTGACAACTATTCTAGATCTCTCAGAAACATGGGGCTCTTGGAAAGAAGAACCAATGATAGGTGGCATTGTTAGGAATAAGAGTGTAAGATCCCTCAAAAGCAATGCCCCAGTTCATAGTATGTTTAGGTGTGCGTCATGTATGTGTTTCACTTTGAGAATGGGCAACTAAATTTCATTTTTGATGTGTGCCGTTGTGCCCACAGTAAAAAAATGACAAAAAAGTTTATCTTCTCTTATCTCATCTCATCTCATCTCATCTTATCTTATCAATTAGAGGACTTGAAAGACATTAGTACTGTTATCTGAGAGTAGCAATTTAAGTAAATAATTCCAACTGCCAACAATAATTTGCTAAAAGAGGAATAGAAGAATGTCTGTATAGAGTCAACAATAAAAAAAGAACATGACTGTTAATTTGAGTATCATCACTGCATGAGTATTATCTCACCTCATGGCAATTTTTTTTAATTTCTCTTCTGTGACTGATGTTGAAACATTAAAACATTATATTGGAAAAAATGTATTAAACCTAAAAAAAACATTCTTCAGTATTATTCATTTCTTACATAGAAACTGCATTGAATTCACTGTAGGCAATATATAATTAATATGTATTCACTCTTCTACCTTCAATATATATACAGATCTAAGTTTTACATTATTACAAACAAATGTTTATTCATAAAAATAAATATTTATTCTTCTAAGATTTTGGGAAGGTAGAATGACTGCCAACATGTATCTAAAATAAAGAAATTAATAAATCAGATTTCTCTTTTAATTGTTATGTTAGAAAACAGTGGAGGTCTACTGAGGGCACGTAATAGTTTTATTATATAAAAATCTCTGAAAAATAATCACAATGGCCAACAGATATCTTTTTTTTTCTTCCTTCCTAGATTGTTGCTGTTTTTAAAAATTAATATTCCCCTTTTAGCATTATCTTCCATAATTATCCTCTTTGGGACATTTTGTATTGCAAAACTGAACACATTTAATCATACTTGTTTTCTATATTTCTGTAGCATAAAAAACTTTCCTCCTAATGGAAAACAAGTAAATAAGGATATTCTTTTGATCATGGATACTGGATGTTTCATAACAATTAAAAGTACTTGCTCATTGTTAATAAGATGATAAATATATTTCCCTGTCCCCTACACTTTTTTGGAAAGAGAATCAAAAATTTAAAATATTCAAACAAACAGAGGGCAAATAGAGTATATTTAAATTTCACATTTCCAATTGTTTTTAGTAAACAATATAAACTCCAATATAATTTCCAATATAAATTGGAAATATTCGATAGTTCATTAATCTTTGATATTGAAACATTATGATATGTAATAATTACACTTTTTGTGTTAATAGGTAACATTACAGGATTAGAAGTCAATGCAATATTTGTACTTGGAAATTTTGCCTTATATCCACAGAAAACATCCCTAATTTAAATTGACTCACCAGTTTACAAACTTGAAATCATCATCTTTTTTCCAGACACAGTAAAAATTTAAAATAATGTACTTAAGCAAAAGCATTTTTTTTATGAAGAATTGTTCAAATTCTGAAAAACTCTTAGTCAACAAATTTTCTCGTTTTTTAAAAAAGTCCAAAACCACTTTTCTTCTTTTAAAAATAATCCTTTGGCATTTTCCTTAAGTCTCTTGATTAAAGCCAGTGACTTTATTATATACATACAGTGCAAATTGTCAAAACATTTCCAACATTTTATCTTTCACTGCACATTTGACTTATCAGTATGTATAACACCTGATAATTTTCAGACAGTAAATAAGCTGGGAAAATTTCAGTTCTGCGGATTAGTGATAGTGATATCATAATTTAAGAGTCATAATTAAATTGTGATAATTAACTTGCTCTTATATAACATATAGAGCTGGATAGATCTTTAGCAACTTTGAAAATTGGATTAGTGTACTGCAGTTTATATAAAGCAAGATACACTGCATATGAAAGAGAAACTTTGATCGTATGATTCATACTGTATCTCAGCTAGCATGCTAGCTATATGCCTTTGACAAGATACCCTATCAATGCCACATCAATGTACCAATATAATAGAAAAAGAGAATTAAAATGAATTGAAATGCTCCAAATTAAATCACACCAACATGGTTCAAAGGCATTTTGTAGCATCTTGAGAAATAACTAACAGTGTGCAAAGATCATTTGATCTTATATGAGTTGTGAAAATTATCCAATCTAGTCCATAATGATCTGGATATAATTTGTAGCCTGGATCTGAAGTGAAATTTGAGAAAACCTGTAATCAAGCATGAAAGAAAACATGACATTTTGATTTCTCAGCATAATAAATCAGATTTTGGAGGGGAATAGAGTACACTAAATTTATAATGTTGGTGCAAAGAGGTTAGGCTTAAGATAATTTTCATTTTTGACAGCCTGAAATTTTGTTTTGTGATATAATGTGATTACACATGCAGCAATAATATGTTCCACAGGAATTCAGTTCAAATGAGTGAATAAATGATTAGATAATAATAAAATCAATTTTCATCAAAGCCAGATTAGCTATGACAAATCAGAAAAGACAATCACATAGCTGTTTAGAATTAAAAGAAAGAACAATAGCCAGTAGCTCAAAAATGGCACTTCGATTACTCTGAATGCAGGACAGATATATCCATCACTGATATCTAATTTTTCGCTCCACTCCCCCACCATTTTAATTTTATATATACAGTAAAAAGTATTGTTTTCTGCAGAAATTCACAGATGCATAATACCATCAAACTGAGGTCCAGAATCAAAAAGAAATGCAACTAAATTTATCAGCTCAATACATAAGGCCTCTGATAGCATCAGATGACTGGTAAATATTATGGTACTGTTTTCTGACAATAATAAACAAGTGAGGTGGCTTCATAAGATGTGGAAAAAATTGTACTAAAATTGATATAGTATAGTTATTTTTTTGGAATAATTATAATAAACACGGATTTCCAGCCATTTTTATTTCTTGGACAAGAATTACTATTACAATTATAATCCTTTTATTTAGACAATCACTAATGGGATGACATTTCATTATGTTCTTTAATATTAAATATTTAATGTTTTAACTGGAACGTTTAATTGTACAGATTTATGAAATTTGTCAAAACACAGATTCCCAGTTACTTTCCAGGTGCAATTCAATGTGCTGTACATGGCATGGGGCTAGGTTATTTGCCATACCACCTCTCCCTCAAGGTATCTGCCTTTCCTTCTAGGTTAGATAATGTGGGTGTGTTCCAGTTGCCCACTCTTAAATTTGCACCTGATAATACTAAAAAGCATATCTTCCTGGTGGCTGCCCCAAATCTTTGGAATGTTGTCCCATCTGAGATCTAAGGGTTCCTACACTTTTAGCCTTCTGGAGAGTTAGAAGACCTTGCTTTCCTCTGAAGTATCTGGCTAGGATGGGTTGAGTTGGGAAGCCATTGATCTGGCACCTGGGAGGAAAGGGTAGTTAGGTTTTTAGTTGTGTTTTAAAAGATTGTTTTGAACTATTTATAATCAGTATATGAAATAGACAGCCGTAAACGATTTGTAAATAAATAAATACATCAAATGGCAAAAGAATATAATAAATATTATGGATATATAAGAAATTGGAATAAATCTAATATTTTGTAAATTGTCATTAAGGTATCTATATATTAAGATTCATCTTAATCTATGAAATTATTCCTTGAAAAAACATCTTGTTTAAAAGATATAAATATGTAACTCTGTATAGCTGAAGTAAAGAAAATACCAAGTGTAGAAAAAAATACTCAACAATTTATGGCAAAAAACAAACGTAATATGGCTTCAACATTTACATATTCTTTTCATCCTGATTATCATATTTCCCAAATAAACCAAACAGGATGCATAACTAGATGGACTAATTCTATTTTACAGTAAGGCTACATTAAGAAATCTTGTTGTCTGAAAGTACAAACTTCCTGTCACTGCTTTTAACCATATGAAAGTTAGGAAAGTTCTTCCTCATTCTTTTCACTAACCATTAAACCACTGACAGCTCTTGCCTCTCTTGTCTGATTATCTTTTTCCCTCATTCCCCAAAATCATTCCTACATTCCAATTCACTAGGTCAGGATTATGCTCTCTGTTACTTAAATCAGAAGTCCCTTGTGCTGAGCCTGAATTATCACTTTCAGGTGCTTGGCTGCCTGTTGATCCCTCAACTATGGCTTAGAGCGGTGATGGCGAACCTTTTAGAGACTGAGTGCCCAAACTGCAACCCAAAACCCACTTATTTATCACCGGGTGCCAGGTGGGTGTGGCCTACTGGATGGGCATGGCTGTGGTGGTCATGGCAGATTGGGTGGGTGTGGCCAAGGTGGGCGTCATCACCTCAATGTTGCTCATGGGGAGGGATGCCTGTGGGGGCCGGGCAGGATTGGGGGAGATCCAGGGGGTCTCTGGCAGGTGGGACGGTGGGCAGGAGGCTCGTCCCGGGGGGTGAGGCGAGGCAAGGCGAGGCAGGGTGGGGGTGTCATTGTCACAGGGCAAGGCAAGGCAGGGGCCAGGGTGGCTGCTGCCTGACACCATCGGCCCCTGCACACAGAGGCCAGTGAGCTGGGATGCATCCATCCATGTGGGACCTCGGCGAGTTAGCGGGTGGCTGGTTGAAGAGGGATAGTTGCATGGCGCGCGTGCCCACAGAGGAGACTCTGAGTGCTGTCTCTGGCACGTGTGCCATAGGTTCGCCACCACTGGCTTAGAGTCTGAGCAGTCTCCTCTTTGCTCTGAATATCAGAAGTGTCCACAACAAGATTCCCTCACAGAGTGAACAAAAGTGGGGGAGGAAGCCAGAGATTCTATTGCATTCTCTTCAAATATCATTGATGGCTCGTCCATTCTGCCTTTGGAGTGTAACAATTCAAAAACAGATACAATCTTGTGACCAATCCTTTTAAATGGCAGATTAGTGAAGATTGAATTAATGAAATGGCTATATCATATGAAATTAAATAATTATATTCCATTTATCATGCTGATCTGATCTCCTGTGCTCATCTTTTCCATAATGTATACTAACCTAAGCACACAGCCTCCTTTTAACATAAGAGCAACACATTTTGTATCTGGCATTAAGTTCTGGAAAGGTATATACGGTATAGCCTGTAAAACCCTCCTACATCATTCTGTGATGGAAAGAAGGAAAAATGGCAATTGCTTTCCTTGCACAGGTGGGAAAACTTTAGTAAGTGCAGTCTGGATATAACACATAGTTATCATTTTTGCCAAAGTAGAAAAAGAGGTAACAACTGGTTCCTTTTCAGCTGGTTTATGCACAATGGACAAGCAGGTGAAGGCTGCCACTCAGAACAGCCTTGGCTGCTGGTTCTCTGAATCCATGGATTGGTGAAGTTAGATAACCAGAAATTATAAAGATGTAATGGTATAATCCAGGGCTTTTCAACCTTTTCACCCATTGTATCACTTTTAGGATATGGCAATATCCGAGTACCACCAGTCGCCTAGCAAGGTGTCAAAAACTTGATGAACAAAAAAAAAAAAAAGGAAAAAAGTGATAAAGTACAGGTAATAATAATAATAATAATAATAATAAATTTAATTTATATGCCGCCCTTCTCCCAACGGGACTCAGGGCGGCGCACAACATATTTAAAACAAAACATAAATACATTCCCCCCCGATAAAACCGAATTAAATCAAATTTTAAAGTTGTGTCTCTGTCAAATTGTTAAAAGATAAACCCTAAATAAAATCCTCCCTAGGTCAG